GATTCGACCTAATCAAAAAGAATTGTGATTTAGCACTTTTTTACCGTTTATTTCAAAAATAAAGTACTCGCTTTTTATAAAACATATTAAAAACTAATCATTGCAATTTCTTTTTGATATTATACGCATTATGTCTATTATTACAACATTATTACAATGTTGTTATTATTATTACAACAAACTTCAGATTCAGCCTATCATGTTAATAGAATGTTTATTCAGACCATAGATAAAAGAAGAGAAGACCATGATAAATAAAAAAAAATGAATGCGCGTAAGGTTAACACGCGATTGAAGTAAAACTTTTTTGCTATTGTACAAGATGGCATTTAAGTTAAAAATAAATACATATGGTAACACTCGTGACGTACACATTTAGTCAACCGTTACACATATAATAATAAATTATAAATTATATATTTATAATAGCATTAAAAATATTTATAGTATTTGAAAACAATTTTAAAATTAAAGTCATACTTCAAATATAACATGGTCGGTTTGTCATTGTAATTAGCATTCAGGACTTGAACCTTCATTAGAGAAATGAAGTAATTGCATTTAGGACTTAAACCTTTATTAGAGAAATGAAGTATTAATGAATTCTATAATATTCTTTCACGCAGTGGATTATGTTAAACGACGCCTAAAAAAATATTGTTTTCACAATCTCACTTATCATGAATTTCACTCATGTTTTTTTTTACTATTTCGCTGATCTCATTCTCTGAGCAGCTGTGATATCTGTTTTGCCTATAAAAATATTTTCCATTTTAATAACTTAAAAAAATTATAGAAACTACGTATAATATAGAAATTATTAAAAAAAAACTTACGTCACGTCAAATCTTACACGTCAGATTTTTTATTTGCTTTATTATTTTCACCATAATGGTTTACTGAAGACGGGATAAAATATTCTTCCAATCCAGCCATTTTTTTTTCAAATCAAGCAGACAATTAAAGCATAATCATACTCACGCGACACGACGACCAATCACAATTGACCGTATAGAAATGATATCATCGACAGCGAATGACGAATCATTGGCACTCGACTCGAGCGTAACGCTCTTCCGTTGCATTTTCACAGATTTACCCCCTAGTCGCCTCTAAAGAAGTTTTACTTCAAAAATCAACAATTAATTATGAAAAACCTAACCAAATAATACCAACTGAATGCAGTTTTTAAATTTACAAAATTGGTTTATGATTTTTGGTACAAATGTGAACGAAAAATGTTTCACTTTTCTTAATAAATAATAATAAACTTTTACTTCAGAAAGTGAATTAAATAAATTTAACATTTCGAAAAACAATATCTCTGCTGCTAAATTTTCAACAAATATATAGTTTTATATATTTAATAATTTATATTTTCAATTGCTCATTTAGATTGGTCTACCAGGTCTTTATTCAATCCAGCATGGCGCAGTCCGAGCTGAACGAAATCCTAAGCTCTGCTATGTCAATACTATTTTATGGAAAAACATTACTGCAACGGGTAGTAACTTTTTCTTGAACAATCAATTGCCTAATGAATGTTCATTAATTGAAAATTGTAATAGCTGCACCAATAATAATTGTTGGACTAAAGAGTAAGTGGTATTGTTCATATCTTTTTTCTATTGCCAAAAATTATTTGCCGATCGATGTAACGTTTAAAAAAATTCAAGTTTTGAATTGCAGCAAATGCCAAAAATTTGCTGTTTACCACCCCGAATGTGACGAACAATGTTTAGGAGCCTGTACTGGACCAGGACCTGCTCAGTGCAATGTCTGCAGAACATTGCGCAATGGAAGTATATGCGTAGATAGATGCCCGCCGGAGAGGTAAGAAAGGTAGACGACTTCTGATATGTATAAATAAATTAACTTCTTTATAAAATAAAAGTACTGATGTTTTCATTAGATTAGTTTTTCTGGATACTATGCGATGTTCAAATCCGGCAAAATGTGTGAATGATAAAGTAATTTACGAAAACTCTTGCTTATTAGAATGTCCGGCAGGTTTGTTCCTAATCAGTTGTACGTTTAGCAGTCTTTGTCTATTTTTTTTTTTCTAAGTCTTATTATATGTTTTAAAGGATTTATGAACTCCAGTGGCATTTGCATAAAATGCCCTAAGCAGAAATGCCCTAATGTGTGTCGAGGTGCTATAATAACATCCATCTCTGATGCGCAACATTTTAAAGGATGTACGATCGTAAACGGGAGTTTGCAGGTATCCAAAAATATCATATATTTTAGTTGAAAATGTAGATATAGCACTTCTAAAGTAATAAATATAAATATGCAAAGCAAACTATTAATTTTTTTTAGATACGGTTATCAGAAGCCATTGATATTACTCAAGACTTGCTACACAACTTGAGTGAGATAGAAGAAATAATTGGTATCTTAAAAGTGTATAGATCATTTTCATTAAAATCACTTCATTTTTTTACTAATTTGAAAGTTATACATGGAAATGAAGAATTAGATTCCAACAAATATTCTCTGATGGTATTTGAAAATCAAAATTTACAAAACCTTTTTAATGTGACCAGTCTCCGCATAGAAAAGGGTTCTATTTTGTTCAACAACAACCCATACTTGTGCCTATCAGAAATAGAAAAATTCCAGCAATATACAAACTTAACAAAACTATCATTAAAAGATTCTTTTCCTAGCTGGAATGGATACAAAGCTAACTGTAACTTTGTAAAAATCAAAACCTTTGCAGGAAATGTATTCACCACAAATGCTACTATTTACTGGGAGAACTATAAAAACGTTAGTTCTAATGGATATATGATATATTATATAAAAGCTCCCGAAAAAAATGTGAGAATTTATTATGGTATGGATACATGTCTGGAAAACTCCTGGAACGGTACTCAGTTTAAAGAGAAGACTCAAAGTCAATATTTAAAATATACTTTGACTGATCTTAACGCTTTCACACAATATGCATTCTATGTTCGATCATATGATTTAGAAAGTCCTGTTCTAAATTTCCATCAAGAAGTTCAATCTAACCTAGAGTATTTTAAAACTTTGACTGATCAACCATCTGGTGTTGAAAGAATTAGGACTGTAAGCAAAAACTCAAGTTCTATAACTATAACATGGTTTCCACCTTCAACACCAAATGGTATCCTAAGTCATTACAAGTTATATGTATTTCATCATCCTGATGAAAATGATTTTCTAGACCCAAGGAATTATTGTAAAGAACCAATGGAGGATATAGAAACTAATCCCGAACTGGAAATGATCCAATCAGCACCAGCACAACAGTCATGTTTTTGTCCTGATGACGAACCATTATTAAGTATTGATCAAGATGAAAGTGATATTTGCATTGAAGGAGCAGAAACGCATCACAGTTGTTCCCAAATGAAATACTCAAGTAATAGAGTCCGTAGAGCATTAGCACCACATGTTAGAGTTAAAGAATTTCCAGATGTTATAGTTGATGGATATTACGAAGTTACAACTATAAATTTCAGTGCAGAATTGACTCAGTATACCGTCAATCATCTAAGGTATTACGGGTTATACACATTACAACTAGCGGCTTGCAACATAAACGAAAAAAATTATGAGGTGTGCAGCCCAATAGAGCATTTTACAGACCGTGCAGGAAAATACATCAGAGCAGATGACATATTGGATTTCCGAGTCGAAACCAGAAATAATGAAGTCTTTTTGAAATGGTCAGAACCTGAAAAACCAAATGGTGTGATTATTACTTATTTTATAGAATATGGTAAATATGAATGGGAAAAGGCTCCATTTATGACAAAATGTGTCACCAGACTTCATCATGCTATGAATAACTACACCCATACATTACTTCTAGAAGATGGAACTTATAAGACTCGTGTGAAAGCCCAATCTCTAGCAGGAGACGGTCGATATACCAACATGGTCGAATTTAATGTGACGAAAATCGAAATACAGTTTCCAAATACGGGTATAGTGCTATTGTATTGTGCTCCAGGCATTGCTTTAATGGCTGTTTTAATTTACTGTTTGAATAAACACAATTGTTTTTGCACGCCTTATGCAAAATCATCTTGCTTTAAGAAAAAACAGTCAACTTGTTCTAAAATGCGCAATGATTCTTGGAATGATTCTCATGGTGAAGAACAAGATATGCGCCGTCAAATTTTGATTGATGAAATTACTAATCAATTATTCGATGACACTGCTCCTAATTTAGGTTTGATAAAGAGAGATTTTAATGTTAGATATTTTCATAGTCGCCCAGATATAGATGATACAGTGCAAATTAAACCAAATACATTTCTAACCAGCGCCTCTATAGAAGCACATGCCTGCGCTAATGAATACCAATGAGTTGTAAAAAATACACTGTGATAAAATACTAAACATGATTAAAAGATTTTAAGAAACTATATATCCAATCTAAGTGTTGCCTCTATACTATTGTTAGTATATGTAACCAAATCTAACATGCTCAGAAACTTCTAAATACAAAATTAATCGCAAAATTCACCTAAATCACCTAGATTACCTAAAAAAAAAATTCATCATTTAATCACATCTACAAAGAGTTCAGGTTAGTATTGGAATAGACTATTTCAATAATATGAAATTTTGTATTATTTGACTGTTTTATAAATATTATTATCCAACATGTATGATTAATAAATATATATAGCATCTGGTACAACAGTTGTACAAAATTAATAAAGTTTTATATAAACACTATGTGTACGTTTAACAATATTTGCCATAATCCATTTTTATAAAATTCTTGCATTTGAAAAATGTTATATTTTTGCACTTTGAATAAATGTGCACAATTTATAAAAAATTGTTTTGTCAAGGCAAGTTTAATATCATAAAGTTATATATAATATCTTGATATCTTTGCAGTTACAAATTTAACTTATTTCAGAAGGTATAAAAATATATTTAAGCAAATTTGCATCATAATAAAAAATCACATAAAATATATACAAATTTAACAATTATAATACCTTTACCACATATTAAAAATTGCTCTTTTGTCTAATGTTATAACTTGGACAACTTTTTCTGTAAGAGTGACCATGCTTTCTCAACCTGCAACAAAATAAATAGATTATTTTTATTTGTAAGAAAACTTTAGGTATCCATTTGAACAGATAATTAAACATACTTGTGTTTGTGTGTAATCCCTACTCCAATATGTACAAAAAACAACATTAGATTTTGATACAAATTCATTGTTATCAGGTTGTGCCGAAATCCTTGCAATAGCATCTGCTTCACTCAATTTGTTTCTATCTTGAAGTCTCTTGATAGCCTAGAAATAGAGTTACTATTTTTATATATACAGGCAACCTCTGTATAACATAGTACTTCTAGAACACGGTTTGAAAATTGAGACAATCCTCCTTATAACATAACAAGGTATAGTTTCAAGGTACGAGTTTGCTATAAAACGGTTGATCAAAGCAATATAAGCAATGTAGTAAAACTAATGAACAGCAAATTTCATCTAATCTAGAGTTATTAAAATTGCCAAACAATATCTCAATAAATGTGATGAAACTAGTGCAAAAGATAACTCTTTTGAGATTTTTTATTCGAGCATTTCTTTTTGCTAAAAGCTTGCAATCGTATACATAAATTTTATTGCAAAAAATAGAGCATGAAATGACACAGACCAGAAAAATTTTCAGAGTATGGAGATATCTTGAAAAACCAATCGAGTTGTATTGCAATTACTTGTTAGTTATAATGAAAAAAGATTGATTAATTAATTTAATGTGTGTTACTTCTTAAGAAAATTTAATAAATATAATAATATTTATTATCAAATGGTAATTTGTAGTATGTTTTTTTAAATCCTTGGATCGTAATTTCTTTTTTTGTACTAGTTGTTTATCCCGTATTACACGGATTTGCTTTACAGTTGTTTGGCATGTAACTACCCTGTTATACATGGGCTACTTGTATAAGTATATATGTATATATATATATATATATATATATATATATATATATATTAGTAATTTAAAACTAACTTCTTTCTCTGATATGATGCAAGACCATATCTCGTGAAATTCATTCTCCCAACCAGCTTGTAATAACACAGCAGCTTCAACCACAATTATTTCAGATTCCATTTCATAACTCATATTTGAAATTGCCTCTCTCAATTCAGTTCTCAGAACTGGCCACACAATTGAATTTAGTGTATTGAGTTTGTTCTAAAATTGAACATTGTTATCAACAATTGAAAGTTATTTCTTTATTATTTGGATTTATGAGATTATACAAACCTTGTCAGCAAATACAATAGCACCAAGCTTTTTTCTATCAATATTGTCTTTCTCATCAAATATTTCACAACCAAATTCTTGTTTTAATAAATAGTGGCATTTTTGACCTGGTTCATATAAATCATGTGCCAAGGTATCGCAGTTTATGTAACCAGCTCCCAGTTTACGAAGTCTCTGACAAACAGAAGATTTTCCAGAAGCTATACCTCCACAAAATCCTATGAGATATGGCTTTTTTGGTAGTAGTGGATTATCCTAATAATATTGAAACTATATAGGAAATAATCATAATACGTCCTAAACCAAACTAAATATAAAATAAGTATTTTGAATACCTTAGGTTCTTTAAGTCTTGTACCTAGTAAATTCATTCTCTGATTACTGCTGGAAAGTTTATGTTCTTTTCCCTCTCCATTGTCAAATCCTTCCACAAGATCAATACAATGTATTTTTAAATGACACAGACCATTCTCCAATCTTACATCGTTCACTTTAAGACCACCTTTTAAAGTTTCTGAACTTACTACTATTAGCTAAAAAGATATAAATATGCAATTTTCAATAATTTCATATATAATGGGCTGTTTTTTTCCATATTGATATATTATGCTTAAACTATAAACAAATTGCATCTAATTATAGCAAGTTATCAATGTATTTTGTATCAAGTCATAAATTTAGAAGCCAACACCATTTACTTTGAGAAAAAAAATGAAGCAAATGTTCAACATACTTTTTATTATTACCTGCATATCAGGATCAGTTTTTGTGGGACCAAACGGATCATTTATTGACACAATTTGATACATTAAAGTGCTATCTACATCCTGCATGAATTCTTGGACATCAGACATTCTTTTAGAGCTAGGCTGAATTAGTTCATAAAGAGTTTTTGCTTCAAAACAAAATAAATCATTGACAGAAAATAAAAACACTAAATTATCTTAAAAATAAAACTACACTTACATTTTAGCATATTATTTTCAGTAACTCCCACAACAACCCTTTTATTAGCTCGTAAGATGGCCTCAGAAAGTAGTATCTTATGTCCTACATGCAATCTATCAAATGTGCCCCCAAGAACAACATTGTTATGCATTACTGGTTCTACTGCTGAATCGCAAAGTTCATTAAAACCTTGAGCAATTTCTGTTTTGTCATGTAGAACAATTACTGGTACATCTTTTATCAAGCAATTAGAAAGAAAGTCTTTGGTTTCAGTTTTGGTAAAGGCATTATCAAACATAACAACTTCCACAGGTTTTTGAAGTTCAATGTTAGCTTCTGGATATTTCAGTGATGAGATGAGTATCCTTACATCGATGTTTCCACAATGTTTAACTGCCTAGAAAATATAGATTTATTTATATGTTATAGCAAAGGAGCAAATGTTATTGAAAGTAGCTTATTCTATGTAAAGTAATACAGCAAAATAGAATCATTCTGAACAACAAATATATTCTGAGTTCAAAAATTATTTATAGTATGTAATGTGTTAATAACTAAACATCCACTTTTACTATTTATTAAATATTGGATGCTATAATAAATCTGTTTACGCATATTATGTGTAAAATATGATACATTACTGATTGATGAAATACTGCTTATAAATATACTGTGCTCACAGAGTGAGTATAACAAGAAGGTGATTCCGACACATTTGTATTTCTGCATCCTAGATAGAGATGAGCATTTAATTATGTAAATATTGTTTTATTTACATAATTACTATTTCATGTTTACTATCTTTGAACTATTGAATGCTATTATAAATCTGTTCACACACCCTACATGTAAAATATGATACAGTGATAGTATTGCTTGAAGTAATTTTTCTAATACCTGTGAATATACTGTGCTCACAGCACGGGTCTACTAAGGAGGTAATTTCGATACATTTCGGTATCCAAGATAAAGATGAACATATAATGTTTTATTTACCTGATTACTATTTCATGTCTACTGTTTTCTAACTATTGAATGCAATTAAAAATCTGTTTATACACCTCATGTGTAAAATATGATACATTACTGATCGATAACATTGCTTGAAGTAATTTTTCTAATACCTGTGAATATACTGTGCTCACAGCACGGGTCTACTAAGGAGGTAATTTCGATACATTTCGGTATCCAGATGAACATATAATGTTTTATTTACCTGATTACTATTTTATGTCTACTATTTTGGAACTATTGAAGGCTATTACAAATCTGTTTACACACCTTATGTGCAAAATATGATACATTACTGATTGATAATATTGCTTGAAGTAATTTTTCTACTACCTGTGAATATACTGTGCTCACAGCACGAGTATAATAAGGAGGAGATTTCAATACATTTGTGTTTCGGTATCCAGGATAAAGATGAACATATAATGTTCTATTTACCTGAATACTATTTCATGTCTACTGTTTTGAAACTACTGAATGCAATTACAAATCTGTTTAACACTAGAAAGACGGACGAATTGAGTATACCTACATTGCCTGAAAACAGTCAAAATGACTGCGTTGTGAAAAAAATAAATAATGCGTTTAGAAATTTGTTTAAAATTATTTTTTATTATTTCATGTACTATTTACATTTATACAAATTATCTATGAGTGCTAAAAATAAAAAAAATAGTTCATCTGAAAAAAAAATTCATTATATTTACAATTCATGCAAATATAATTTGAGATCTTTTTATGATACATTTTCCGCAAACATGTTTGTTGCAACTTTGACACGTATTATTAGTTTTATTATTATTACAAAGTCTTATTTGGCAAAATTTTCTTTTATTACTATTGGTATTTGCAAGATGTCTATGGGTCATCATTTTCCTTTGATTTTTTTTGTGTTGATGTCGTGTAGTCCGCGGAAAGCTGTTCTGCCAATTCAAACAAAAACTGTTCTCTAAGGATTTGTTTTCTTTGGATTTTTATTCCTGTCGCTTCTTTGTAAAGAATCCAGGCATTTATCGCAGCCAAATCCAAAATATTGAAAAATATTTGCAGGGGTCATCTACTGGATTGGAACTGGATTTCACGGTATATTTTCTTTACCTTTGATCTGCCATGTCTTCTTTGCTGACCATAAATAAGTCAATTTCAATTTTTTTGCCTCATAGGCTCCACGAGCATATAAAATTCCAATAAATGCACGTATTTCCGGTAACGATTTGTCTAATCGTACCCCAAAATTCGACTGCCTTCTTCTTCTGTGCACTGTTTTATGTGTTTGATGATATAATTATCTATTATCAACAAAAATGCACTGACAAGATCACCTGTAATAATATTCTTTTTTGCATAGCTTGTTGGCCCTTTCACACCCTTGAAAACACAATTAGATGATGACCTTCCTGGAGTACCACATTCGGCAATTTTTGTCCATACAGTACCATCGACAGCTGTTTCCGTTTCTTGAATTCTTTCATCAGTTTCTGAGCCTTTTAGCACCCTCCTGCATACACTGATGGCACTTTCATTTTCATCAATAGTGATCACCTTCATCGCTACCCTCAGAATCAGATGATTCACGTGGAATATAATCCGATTCATCTTCAGATTATTGTGCCCAATTTTCTGCATTTGATTCTATGTCGGAACACTCTTCACTTATGTTTGTAAGCTTTTGCAATAATTCACTTCTCTTCGACATTTTATTTATAAGTTCTAAAAAGTCAACTGAACGACGCGTTATACTGAAGTTACTACGTGAAAAAGACCGGTCTAATGTCAATACTTACCAAAATTCGGTTATTTTTATATAACAAATGCATTATCGCCAATTGGAGATGAATGCACGCGAGATAACGATTTGCAATAAAATAACAAAGTCGTTTGTAATGTAAAATTTCTATAGCAGTCAAAATGACTGTTTTCCGTCCATGCAGGCATAACATGTAAGAATATTGAAAATAAAAGTGAGATAAGGCAAATAATACGATTTATCTACGCATTTATATGTTGTATAAAAAGTCACAAAATTTCACGAAGCTGCGACTTCAAATTCATAGTTATTTTTATGTTTGAAAATGGAAAACAGTCAAAATGACTGCGTCCGTCTTTCTAGTGTTAAACACCTTATGTGCAAAATATGATACATTACTGATTGATAATATTGCTTGAAGTAATTTTTCTACTACCTGTGAATATACTGTGCTCACAGCACGAGTATAATAAGGAGGAGATTTCAATACATTTGTGTTTCGGTATCCAGGATAAAGATGAACATATAACGTTTTATTTACATGATGCCTTGCTGCAGATAACACTTGTGATAGCCTCGATAAATTGGTAATAACTAATAAGCCTGTCCTAGCCATTTAACAGAGTATTCTTTGGACTGAAAATATTAGAAATATGTAAGAAATAATGTATCAAATAGGGCATTAAATGATTGTAAGGCAAATACATTCGTACAATACGACTCAATAATTGACAGTGTCTTTTTTAATTTGATGTGCTCATAGAATTTCATATATTACATCAATATACTATAATCATATATATTATCTAAATTTTAAATCATTTTGAATTGCTAATAATTGAAATAATATATCAGACATAAGAAAAATCCAGTGTTGATTCTTTAGAAATAAACAATAGTTTTTCAAACCTTTGATGTTATATTATACTAACAGTTTTTACAGGACTTTATTTGCAACAATGACATTACAAAAACGTTGGCTAAAGTTTAATTTATCTTGATAAATAAATATCGTATAATTGTCAATAATAATAGAAATTCGTGACGCCCTCTATAGCGATCTTATCCAATTCTTAAACTCAATACTCACTCCATGTTTTTAGAAATCGTGCCAGAAGCTACCATAGTTTTCTTTGACTCGTATTTATACAAATTCCTTCGGACGTTGCACAAGTCGCATTCGTGATGTAGGAATAATTTTGATTAACCGATTGATTTTGATTTTGTTAATTAATTATGAATTTATAAATTTATATTCTGAGTGTAATTACTTTCATGGTTATGTTTGCATAGAATTTTGTGTTAAATTGTTACTTTTGTCGGTTGTGGATTGTGTCAGTTGCAAATTGTAAAGTGAAACATGGCTACACACAGCGAGGTCGGGGTAGCCGATTTTGTCCTTTTGGACGAAATTACTATTGAAAAATTTATGGCTAATTTGAAACTAAGGTAATTATATAGTAATAAAAATCTATGCTTATTTATAAACTATATTTTACTATACATGATAAAATATTATGCGGCCTTTGAGAGGTTAGTTTATAAACAAAGTTTGACGTTTCAATGTCAGTCCCTTTGAAAAAATGCGTTTTTTTAAAACTGATTTAATTTTTTTAATGGTGTTTTTTAATTATGTTTTGTCAATGACTCATGTTGTTTAACAATGAAATTTATGAGAAAAATGCCGTCATAACATGAAGTCATATATTGTATACTTGAATTTTATTTATATTTTTTATTTCTGCATAAGCAAGAACTCAAGAGAAGTATTTTTACTCTATATATGTATATATAAACATACACACATGTATATGACAACTATAGTTTGGGAGAATGTACAAATATCGAATTATTTAGATATTCTTGTTTACAGTTCTTCATATTTGCCGGTTTTTGCAAAATCAACAAAGAAATGTTTTGCAAAGTAATTTTTAAATACAATACAATGTATATTTAAGTAAATTGCAGCAATAATCGACTCAATAACTGTTGACTTATGTATATTTATTCGTATTAAGAAATATTTAAAATCAATATTTTATAACCCTGTTTATTTATAATATTTTTTTATAATTATGTTTGAAATCTTTCATTTAGTACTTTCAATTAGCACTTAAGCAATTAGCAATTATTTAATTACTAAAACTTCAATTTATATTAGATGTTCAAATTTGGTTTGTAACATTTCAATATAAATGAACTCATTCATTCCATTATCTAATCTATAATATAATATATTTCACAAGTTAAAACTAATGATAAAAGTGATAAAAAACTTATTCTCTCGATTCTTGAATTGATAATAATCCTTGATTACATACATATAGGCTTATACCAGATATCGCAATAATTTGAAATATAACTTTGTTAAAAGTTATTTTTTGTATAAGAAATTCTACTATCTTTTGCATACTTTTCTCAATGAGTAACTATAGTTATCAACTATTTGGTCAATGTGGCCAAAATATCCAAAAAGATTGTAAACTAGTATTACAAGGCTACAATATTTAATTTGTAATATTTGTTGATATTGTTTGAAACATCTTATTGTTGTAAGTGAAATAGTTTTTATGAGAGAATATGATACTACTAATAATTTATCAACAGTATCGACATCAATATTCATTCTAAAGCTCTAAAGTCTACTTACAATTTTAGAACAATGTTCTAACAGTCATATATAAAATCTCTTTTTGACATATTTCATTAAAAATATGTATTTAAGAAGGCAAAATTTATAATATTGAAAAAATACCTCTTCTCTCGCAAAGAAATTTTTAGCGCCAATTTATAGGATGTATCTTGTTTTTCCAGAACTATAGTTTTGGCAGAAAAACTATTGTGAAGAGTCATATAATTGATCCAATAGTTTCATATAATCAATGACTCATAGATATTTAAGAAGGCAACTGTTTTAATACCTAAAAAATACACAAATGCAAATAATTTTTTAGCACTAATTAACTTTCCGTAGGGTAAGTTATCGTAATGGGCCGAAAATCGAAATTGAAAATTTTTACATTTCCCGACGTTTTGAAGGTTTCTGAACATTTTGGCATACCTCAGAAAAAATGGATGTGTGTGAGTGTGTATGTATGTATGTATGTATGGATACAATCTTTCGTCTACGTTTTCGGGCGCACGGATCAACCGATTTGAATGGTTCAAAAAACATTCGATTCCTATTGATAGGGAGATGTGCTGATTAGTTTTTGGCAAAGGCAGGTCCAGCAGTTACGGAGATGAAGAGCAAAGAGTGCAGAAAATAGAAATCGAGTTTTTGAGAGAACGGAGCATCCGATTTGAATGATCTAAAAAAAACATTCAATTAGTAATGATTGGAAGAAGTGGTTATTAGTTTTTAGAGAAGGCAGGCCTAGCCATTTCGGAGATACAGAGCTAAATGTACAAAAAATGGCAGTTTTTGAGAGAACTAAGCGTCTGATTTGAATGATTCAGAGAACTTTCTGCTTGTTTTACCAAAATAATTGATTTTGGAAACAAAAATTTTTTGTTTCAAATTTTTTTTTCAATTTTTTTTTATATATCGAAAATAATTCAGATTTTAATCGTAATTCTGACAAAAGTTCTAATGTACTTTAAACAAATATGTTTAACTTTGCAATTCAGTTTATATAATTCTTGTAAATATTAGACATTGTTACAATATTTATAATGATTTATTTGAAAACATTTAATATTTAATAATTTAATAATTCCTCGATCATTTCGTTACGGTACGGGAAGTTCCAGCAATTTGCCTTGAGCCACGATGTCATACACCCCACTAGTTTATGATATTTTTAGAATTGTGAAAGAAAACCTATTGTGAAAATCATATAATTGAACCAATAGTTTCATTTGAAGAAGGCAAAATTTATATTACCTAAAAATACCTTTTCTCTCGTATAGTAATTTTTAGCGCCCATTTATAGGATGTTTTTTATTCCTTCAGAAATATAGTTTTGGAAGAAAAACTAATGTGGAGAATCATATAATTAATCCAATAGTTCCATATAATCTATGACATAGATTACAAGGCTTTCCCTTTGCTGCATAAAGAACATTGGCTTTGCAACCCTAGGCTCCAGGTTCGATACCCACCTCAGACAGTTTGATATTTCAACTCTTCACTTGTTAATATAGATTTAAAATATGTCTACAATCGACAAGTAAAAATAACCCTTCCCTGGCATTCTTGTGTTAATAAAGTCAGTCCATTGCCCTGAGTCGATATGCATTACGGCTTTAATTTAAATATGTAATAATTACATTTTACTTCCGGATGATTTATTTTTCGATTAAATTCACGGCTACTTTGATTTTCATGGCTCAATTACTTCTCTATAGATTAATTTCCTTAATCTTCTTTGATGGTTCAGTATTTATAAGACAAAAATATTTTCTAAACGATCGTCCAGTTTATTAACACGTGTCGCATCGATTCACTGTCTAATTGTTTTATCAAGCATGTGTTAATGACATAACAAAGTACTAAGAAGTAGTTGTTATCGATATGTCATTTATTATCTATAGGAAAATATATTGTATCTAATTTTTTTTGTAGATTAAATGATATAGAATCAAGTACGGATTTTTATCTTTCATGGACATCGTTTTAGCGAATCGTGCCAAATAGATAAATATCCAAATTTATTGATCAGCCGCGAACAGTAATTTAACTTCATAAAGTAATACTCAAAATCATAGTAAAACTAGGTAAAATTTTATTTTATACTGAAAAGACTGAAATTATGAAATAAAGTAAATAATATTATTTATGAAATATTATGAAAAAAAAAGTTGTTTGCTATATTAGTTCAACGGTTTAGTTCCGGATTTGCTACCCGCCTTTGCCAGCTTGATATCAATCACATCTTTACTTGAGAATATGGATCTTTTATATGAAAATAGTTTTTCAGAGAGGCATTGCTGCAGAAAAAATTATTCAAAAAATACGTTTTAAATATATGTTAAAAATATACCACAGCTAGAAAGTGCAACTACTTGTTTACCTCCTATTAAATTTAAAAAAAAAACAATTGCTGAGTTCATATAGACAATGAAAATAATTCAAAATATGTTCAAATCTTGAACTACTTTTTATATATGTACCAATAAAAAATTGTAATCAGTTTTCTTATTTCTTGTTTATCGTCTCATTATATGAAAGAAAATGGTTAATTATTAGTATTTGTATTAATGCTATAATATGATGAATTTGTGATTCAAATTATATTTAATTACTTTTTCGCAGAATATCATTGATCGAACTACTGAATGGTATTGATTAAATAAAGGAAGAGATCAATAATATGTATGAATAATGCAATTGTGCATTAGTAGAAGCTCATATCACATCTAACTAAATATGCTCAATATGTTGGCATTCTAAATATGCTCAATATGTTAGTATTTATTTATTTAATTATTTCATTATATTCATCTTTAATAACTATTTTTATTAATTTTTTGTATTTTTTGGCACTTACAATTTGCCTTCAATCAAAAGGTTTCATCACAGTCACAGTTTTCATATCATATGTGCCAAACTTGGAAATATATTAACAAATTAAGATTTATTAACATCCCGTGTAGGGTAAGTTATTGTAATCGTCCAAAAATCGAAATTGAAATTCTTTGCATATCTTCACGTTTTGAAGTTTTCTGAGCATTTTGGCATTTTTTTCGTCCATGTTTTTGGGTACACAGATCAACCGATTTGAATGGTTCAAAAAACATTCGGTTTTTATTGATAGGGAAATATGGTGATTACAATATCTTAGTATTTAACAAAGGTCGGTTCTGCTGTTTTGGAGTTACGGAGCAAAGAGTGCAGAAAATAGAAATTGAGTTTTTGAGAAAACCGAGCATCCGATTTCAATGATCCAAAAAACATTCAATTCATAATAATGAGAAAGAATGGTTATTAGATTTTGGCAAAGGCGGGTTCAGCCGTTTCTGGAATATGGAGCTAAATGGCAGTTTTTGAGAGAAATAAGCATTTGATTTCAATGATTCAAAAAACTTTTTGCTCATGTTGACGAAACGATTGTTTTCGGGAAAATATTTTTTTTATTTCAATTTTTTTAAAATATCCTAAGTTTTTTTTAATATCGAAAATAATTCAGATTTTCAAAATTTTAATTCGGTCATGCACCGCTAGTTTAAATTTAAAATGCAAGCTTTGTTTTTTTTAATTTTGATCGAAATCGAAATTTTATTGTATATTGGAATTTTTTACTGAAGTTGCTGGATAAATTTAAAGACAAAATTTCTACTAATCTAGAATTTCGACTAATAAATCTATACATAATACCAGGGTATTTGTAACAGAAACTGTAATAAGTTTTCTTTGGGTATTTATTATTAAAAATAAATGAAAATAATTTTATCCAAATATATATATTGATTTTATATGTGGAAACCAAGTGTGAGCAGTTTGC